CGGCTCAGCGGAACCCCTCAAGGAGGAGAACAAGGGGGAGGCGGGCGGCGGGGACACCATCGAGCCTGCTCCCCCCGCCGAAGGGGGGGATGCTAAACCCGAAGGTGCCGCGGCCCCTAAGGACACCCCCAAGAAGAAGAAGAAGTTCTCCTTCAAGAAATCCTTCAAGCTGAGCGGGATCTCGTTCAGGAAGAACAAGAAAGAAGCCGGGGACTCCTCTGGGTCTTCCCCGACGGAGGACCAAGGCAAGGCAGAGGGGCCCCTCACCATCCTGGCCGGTGGGACGGAGCCGTCGGCTCCCCCCGAGGAGGGGTCGGCGGAGGAGCAGGGGAACCCCGGGGAGAGCAGCCCCACTGCGGAGGGGCAGCAGCAGGGAGCCGAGCCCAAGAGGGATGACGCCGAAGCCGGGGAGAACAAGGAGGAAGAGAAGCAGCAGCAGGCAGGGGAAAGCCACGGGGACACAGCCAAACCAGAGGAGCCCTCAAAACCTGCGGGACCTGAGCCTACGACAACTCCGGCGGAGCAGAAGGAAGAGTAGAGCCCACTTGGCATCGTCCCAACTTAAGACTCTTAACGCTCATCCTCTCCATCCCGGTAACACCACGGACTCGCTGTCCTGCCCACACACCTCCAGTCCCACCTAGAACTGACAGCGCTTTCTAAAACCCACCCCCTCCTCCAGTTCTTTCTTCTCCCTCCCCTGTTAGAAAGCTGGTTTGGATTCCCACCACCACCATCACTTGGGAGTAGTTTTACCCGAATCCTTTAAAACTGTGGAGGAAGACTATCCTGGACGTAACTGGAATTTACAGTTTGTGAGACCCCCCCAGATCTCCCATCCCGCTCTGGTCTCTCTGCTGGTCTCCAGACTGTCCCCACTCTCCTCCCAGCAGCCTTCGAAGCCCAGCAAGACAGTGACTGTTCAAGGGATTCTTTCTTTTTTTTTTTTTTTTTTTTTTTCCCCCCTCTGAGTTTACATTCCCAGTTCTGACTTCATTTAAAGTATTTTGTGCTTTTTATAGAAATCAATGATTTAAAAGCTAATCTGGTTAGGTTTTTTTTTTTTTTTATAACGTCTTACTATTGGCTTAAAACCATAAAGCTTGTAAGTCCGCTGTGTTTAATTCTGCTTCTAAGGGATAACTTTTAGGGTGTGGGGTGGAGGGAGGGGGCCTGCCAGCTGTATAATGTGAAGCCACATTGTTTTCTCTGTAAATAATTTTTTAATGGCCAAAACACTTGATTTGCAAATTTTCTAACTTCCAGGAAAAAAAAAAAAACGTAAAAAAAAAAAAAGAGCTGTATGGGCTTTCTTGTAACATTTGAAAGGAATAAATGGTGACCCCTTTACGGGTGAGCTCGAGTCCTTCTTGTCCTGGGTGCCAGACAAGGGCCAGGGAAGATAGCAGTTGCTTATTTAGTTCAACAGCTGCTGCATTTAATCGCTCCAGCCCTGGCTCTGCTCGCAGTTAATTGACTTGCAGCAGATGTAGAGCTACAGCCACAAAGGACTTTCTCACACCAGCCTCTCCTCCCTACCTTCGGATGGCTGCTCGGCTGCCTGCTCCCTACCTGTTTTCTTAGAGATCTAACCCATTTTTTCCTGGTTGGGGGCGGGGGGGAGAAGAAAAAAAAAAAAAAAGCCTTTTCTTAGAAGGTGGGGCCCAGGAGTGCTACTGGGTGAAATTCCCATTTTAAGCTTGGTTTTCTTCTGATTTTTTTTTTTTTTTTTTTAATGGCCTTGGGATAGGATTGGCTCCTCTTGCCTGAAAAAGGCATGCTCGAGCACAAGAGCTGTGCACTGGGAGCAAGGATTTACTTCCAAAGGGAAAACGAAGGCGCAGCGGGTGCCTCTCTCCTTTCTCCTGTGACCTGCACGGGCACGGAGGTGGGTTTTTCGCCCCCCCCCCCCAAGACTGATCCTCTCCAGCAGCTCAGGGCTTGAAGGCTGCAGCCCCCCCAGGGCTCCTCCTGCCCGCTCCACACAGCCCCTCTGTTTAATGACCTGCGCCTAATTCCTGTCTAATCACCTGCCCTGCTGGTTCGGCTGGGAGAAAAGCCAGGAGCGGTGTTTGCCCAACTGGCACCACCCTGGCATGGTGGGGCCTGGGGCAAGGACCATCGTGGCTCTTCTGTAGCTCTTGAGGTAAGTGGAAATGGCCAAAACCTCGTAGTTTTACACAGCACATCCTCCTAGGGATAGCGGGAAGCTAAAGCAAGTGACCTGCTTCAAACGCAGCGGGGCGTTCATCCCGATTCATTTGGAGGGAGGGGGCAAAAAATTAATAATAGGAGAGGGAAAAAAAAAAAATAGTGTTTTAAACCTAGGCACTGCGGCCTGCGAATTACTTGTAAGATCGCCGGCGGTCTGTCATGCGAGACGCAGCTGCATTGTGCCCCTGCCGAGACGCGGAGCAGCATCGCGGCAGCCATTTTAAGCAGCGCTGGAGGAGAGAAGGGCTGCAGTCGCGGTCGCACGTTGGCAGGCGCGATCTGGCAAGGGCGACTCCAATCCCAGTTGTTTTTGTTCAAGGAGGAGAGGATTTTAATCGCCTGCTGCGGTGAAAGGGATAACTAAGTTTTCATGTTATACTCCAGGAAAGTCAACTGTGCCACACAAAGCTTTTTTTTTTTTTAGCTAGGTAAACAGATTTGGCTTATGAACCTTTTGTGTCCATTTCAGGTGTGATTACCGCTCAGTTGCAGAATTAACCTGCCGCTAATTACATTAAAGATTTTTTTTTCACTTGAATACATGATAAAAACCACTTCAGTTCATCCAAAAGATACTCCCTTCCCGTAACTCAATTACGCCTTTTCTAGATTAGCGTTGCTTTCAGAGCATCGGCTGCATGAAGAACTGTAACTCTGAACAAACCCAATTAGCATCAGCACCGCTGCTGGAGGAGAACCCAGCTGTCATTTAGGAAAGAAACAGAACCACCGCGGTGACCCGGAGTAGAAGAGCTGTGAGCAAACAAACCCCATAGTATTTCAACTTACCTTTTCTGGAGAGAAAGGTCAGGAGGAGAATTTCGAGGCTATTTTAGAAAACACGGTGAGGGGGGGAAGAATAAACATCCACAAAAGAAACTAAAGCAATCTTTCACATGCAGCACAGAGCGTGTTCCAAATAAAATGCTTCAGTGATCTTTTTACTTCATTTGAACCAAAAGATCTAGCGCTTTTTGTGAAAGAAGGGGGGAAGTAACCATGCCTCGCCTCCCCTTTCTTTCTAAAGCCTTACTACAGCTGTCATTTCTTGTCCCTGGGACCTACACCACATCATGCTCGTGACCAAAGGACAGCGCCGTTTTCCAGCAACAGCTCCGAAAAACAACCAACTGCCCCTCTAACCAAGCGTTTCCTCTCAGCAGAAAGCAGTACAAACTCACACCAACCATAGAAATGCACCAGTTTTATTACAAAGGTTCTCAAAATTCAAAATAAAAGCATCTTTAAAAAACCACAATATATTTCCCCCCCACCCCCAGACACAAAGATACACTGATCTCTCTCACTTCACATACAAACACTGAAGAGCGGGAGTGACACGTCACTCTGTTTCAAAGAGACTAAAAAACTCACGGTGGAAAAGGGGGGGGGAAAAAAAGTATTTAAAAAAATAACACATTTTAAAAATAACCTGTGTTAAGTTAGCAGCATTATTAGAGTTGAAACCATCAGCAGCGCTCCGTGGGAGGTACAGATCCTCTTATGGACAGAGGAATCCCCCTGAGAAAGGAGAGCAGCGAGTCAAAACTGCCTGCAAAACTTCTGCGGAGCACTTCACCAAAAGCTCACCTAACCATCAGCTGTACAAAAGGAGATGCAAAAGAAAGGCCAGTTCTGGTCACGAAAGACTTTGGGTGTGAGATAACGCGTGGGAGTAGGAAGAGTAGTTATAAAAATGTACAGAGCCCCATCTGCTGTTCCCTTATAAAGATAACAGCTCAGAGGACTGATAAAAACGTTCTCCGTATTTACTGGCCTTGAGAGCGAGAGAGAGGGAAGGTTCAACTTGAAAACATTTGTACTTAATTTCAGAGAAGAGTTTTTCAGCACATTGACAGGAGGTTTCAGCAGGGATTGGCCTTTAGACAAGTTGGGAATTTCTGCAGTGGTTTCAGCCAAGGACGCAGATCTGTACTGAGAAAGCACATGACGGCACGTGTAGCCGAGGGCAGAACGAGCAGGAAAAGCAAAGCAGGCGGCCAAACGGGCAGTAACTCACTTCCTCCCCCAAAGAGGGGCATAGGTATAGAAAAAAAAAAGGTATAAAAATTTCATCCCTTCTCTTACTCAAGATGCACAATGCTGCCACGCTAACTGGATCGGCAAGATCTCGGAAAACGTTAACCACCACATTAGGGTGATTTTCATTTTGCATTTTCCAGATCTGCACCTGAAGGGCTCTCGGGCTGATTCACTAAAGCGCTTTTCGGATTGCTTTTAAGCTGCTTCATCTCTTTCCACAAGTTTGCTGCAGGGAGGTAGCCAACTCTATTCAAGAACTGCACTATTTGACCCTGAGAAGCGGCACCAGCTTGCAGTTACTTGCCATGGTGGAATCAAACTGAAGACCAAAGGAATAGTCTCTCACAGGCTTCATTTGGGAACCCATTCTCCCACAAAAAAAAAAAAAAAAAGAGACAAATAAAAAAAAAAAAAAAAAAGAAATTTCATGGCCATCTTTCCACCTAACCTGAAATGCAGATACTACTTCTACTTAAATTATTCTTTTCCAAGGGTGGTTATTTCAGAGGAGAGAGTAAAGAAAGGAAGTGATTTATTTTTTTTAGACACACTAAGGAGAGGCAGTGGAAGGCAAGAGTGAAACTTCCCAGTCACCAAATCTGGGCAGTGCAGGTCTGTCTACTCCGCAGAATCCTCCCTGTCTGCTCCTAGCGGAGTGCAGCAAGGAATAATTTACAGTTCTCAAGTCATTTATATATTTATATAGAAATATATACAGAAACATATATAAAATATAAATCCTGTGGAATGGGAGGCAACCAGAGAAGCTAACCTATGACAACTACGCACTGACAGGTACCGTCCAGCTGCAGCCATCTTAGGTGGATTTCGTCTCTTCCTTCACCCTGCGGAAGCAAGCAGTGAAGAATTTGGTTTAAAGAAGGAACTTGGGCTGTGCCCAAGCTTTAACGACAAGCCAGAGCCGTAATCTTAAACACACTGCTTATATGGCCCATCTTCATCTAAAACCTGTAACACTGAGCACAGGCACTGGATTTTTAAGCCCTTTTCACTGAGGGCTCTGCTCTCAGTGCGCTTTATCAGGCATGCTGTTCTACACATGCAAACTTCTTCCGTGACAAAGCCATCCAAACTACCACGTCTCTCCTCCAACCCCTCAGGTTGTGCAACATCCCACTGGGGGCATGGGTAGATGCACGAGGAAGTACAAGCGCAGCCGCTTAATCGCCACGCCAGGAGACAGGGCTTACCCTTTGGGTTCTGCTTTCTCCTCTTTTGCTTTTTCCTCTTCTTTCTCATCTAGGGGGGGAAAAAAAATAA